TTACAGATGGAAAAACCAAGGCTTGGGTACACAAACTGCTTCAAGCCACCCTGGGAAGGGGTGGCAGAGCCAGCACCTCTGCCTGCGGGAGGGAAGCGAGAAGCGGGAAGCGGTCCCTGGGCTAGAGGCTGCCCTCCTGCGCCCCAGCCCCCACCTCCCTGCTGTGCGACTTGGGAGGACCCACAGCTTCTCTTCACCCAGGCAATGAGGTCCTCTTTCTTGGGGAAATGGTGTCCAGAGGAGCTGAAATCAACTTACTTAGGAGCAGGTTAAGTAGGGTGGGGCAGCTGGAGAAGTGGACATGAAACCGAGGGATCAGGGGTCATTCTGGAGTCTAGCAGACTCCGGAAAGGAAGAGAAACAAAAGTGTTCTGCTCAGAGGGAGTGGCATGTGGGGAGTGGATGGGAGAGATGAAGGGAGGGGGAAAGGCTTTCAAAGAAACAAAGAAAGAGAGAGAGAGAGAGAGAGAGAGAGAGAGAGGAAGAAAGAAAGAAAGAAAGAAAAAGAAGAAAGGAAGGAAGGAAGGAAGGAAGGAAGGGAAGGAAGGAAGGAAGGAAGGAAGAAAGAAAGAAAGAAAGAAAGAAAGAAAGAAAGAAAGAAAGAAAGAAAGAAAGAAATGAGTCGTTCCAGTGTCTGTGGTTGCAGAAACTCCTCTGAGTCTTTAAACAACCCTTGTCAATGTTCCATCTGCTGGTATGAGGGCCCCCTGGTCGGCCACAGGTCTCTGAGTAGCGGAAGAAAAGAGGGAGGGAAAATGAGGGGTCAAGGAGAGGGAGAGAAAATCAGAAAATCAGAAAGAAATAGAGATAAGTAGAGAAAGACAGAGCAGGGAGAGACAGAAATAGAGGGGTTGGGGAAGAAAGGAGGGAGGGAGCCAGAGAGAGGTGGGAAAGACCATGCTGGGATTTCCACACTAGCAGCAACACTGAACACACACTTCCTGACTAGCACCGAGCACTCTGCCCACCTCCTCCAGGGCACCCTGCTTGTTCCTCTCTCTCTTTGCTGAGGGCTCACCAGGCGTGCCCAGCAACACTGGGAAGGTGTGACACCTGGAGGATACATGGTCTCAGTCATGCCCCTTTGTCATTTGTCCCTCACCAAATATTTACTGGGCGCCTGCTCTGGGCCACTGTCTTGCCTCCCATCTTTCAGGGCATGGCTCAACTCCTGCTGGCTGGAGAACGTCCAGGGCTCAGGGCCTCAGCCTCTTCTTTGCCTCTGCCTTCCCCTGTCCTTGCTCCCTGCACAACTGGACACAGCTGGGCACCTGGCAGGGGATGGGAGTTTTCTGGCTGGTTGGAGGCTTACTGAGGACTGGGGAATCAGGCACAGGGCAGGTGTTTTTAAGCCGTGTGTGAACAGTACCAGGCCTGTGCACACAGCATGGAGTCCCTCATCTTACCTGCTCTCCCCTAGTGTCTGGTTGGCTGTGGGGGGGTGTCTAGGGGTGAAGGAGGATGCTTGCAAATTGTTACTGTTTGGAGAGCTGTCATGTTCAGGATAACTCTGACTCTTCATTCCACTTAAGGCCCACCTCTTTCAAAAGACTTCCTGGCTACTCAGAAGGGTAGTGAAGGCTTCCTCTAGCTCTGCCTGGGCCCTGCACTTGACTCAAGATCACAACCATGTGACCCTGACCCCAATGGTCCAGTCAGGACAGGAGCTTTGCACCACATTGACAAAATGGTACATGAAAGACCTGTTTCAAAACCAAGTGTCCTGGATGAAGGGAGCTCAAGATGGAAGAATTGCCTGTATTGCAGTCCTGGAAGGAAGATGATCCAAGGGCATACTAGGGGGAGGGCACCCCAGTAGGGCTTGGTGGGGCTGTAGGGTTAGGACTGGCAGGGCTGGGGCAGCAGAGAGCATCCACAGCCTCCTCCTTAAAGAGAGTACAGCCTGCGTCTCCTGCACTCCCTTCTCCACCCCCAAGGTGCCTCTTTCTCAGGAAATATTCAATTTCCCATTTAGCCACAATAGGCTCTGAAGGGAATCAGAGGTGGGATTATTTCTTGTGCTGCAGGGAGTGTGCTATAAGACTAGACATAGACCAATGCACTCTGGGAGTCAGGTGATGCTGGGAGGCTCACAGCCCAGATAAAGTGGCCGAGAGCCCAGGGAGGCAGTTTAGTCCTTAGCTCCCCACACTGCCATGTCACTGGGGCCCAATGCTACATCCTGAGGCTCTGCTGCTGGTGACTGTTAGGTCGGAGAGAGCCCAGGATCGGATACATGCAGACATGTGATGAGACAATGGACTCCCCCTGGAATTTCTCACAGATCTACGTGCCAGACACAGATACCATCTTCTTCTCCCTGAATCCACATACCCCCACACAGATACTGACTCATTCCTGAATACCTTGCTGACCCCCCTGCAGCTGAAGCTTCCTCAACTGAATACCTCAGCTCATGTCCCCGCCCCTCACCCAACCGCAGTATAAAAAAAGCGCCCCCCTCCATGTTGGCGTGAATCCACGTGCCCTGTCTTTGGGGTACGTGGGTCTCCCGGGGACGCAGAATAAACTTTCCTTTCCTTTCTTTTCTGATTCACTGGACTCTCTATTTCTTGCGCCGCCTCCTGAGCCACCTAACCTAACATTTGGTGCCTTGAAACCCGGGTGGCGCGAGCACTCCATTTGGCCGTCCCTCCGCGGCTCGGGGTGCCCGCCTCTCCCTCCTCGTGGCTCTGGACCCATCAGGACCTCATTTCTTCAGCTCGGCAACTTTTCCCAGTTTGGCAGCATCAGCGGTGAGTCCCGCCCCGCCCCCGTGCCGGTCCCATGTGGCCGCCCGCCCTCCGGCATCTCTGTCCGTAAAACTCGGCCGAGTCAGAGACTGCCTCTCCGGACCCTTCCAGGAAGGCTCCTTCAGACCTGGGAAGGCAGGGAGACGTCTCTGCCCCACCCACGGTCCATCCGTCCGTCCGTAGCGTGGGTTAAACATCTCTCCTGCGTCCCCGTCCCTCCCCGAAAGTTCCTTCTGCCATCTCTCCTCGCTCCGTCCTTCCTCCTCCCTCCGGGCTATCCCTGCGCAGCCCTGCGCTTCCCCCGCCGTGCACCACCGGGCCCGCGGTGTGTGCGGGGGTGGGTTCATATGCTGTATGTGGGTGGCGGCGCCGGCGCCGTCACCATCATCATCATTGTCTCCGTGTTCTCCCATTCCCCTTCACCAGAGACCACCGCAAATTCCCCCGCGAAAGGCGCCGCTCTTCCGCAGGCCTCGTGCCCCTGTCCCCTCCTCCCTCCCTGCTGGACTCTCCTCCAGCCACGCCTTCTCCACTGCCTCCTGATCCCGCCTCTCCTCTTCCGCCTGCCCCTTGGCGGCCGGAAACTCAAACTGCCTTTTACAACCCCATGCCGCTGCCGCTGTGCGCACTGTGCCCCATTCCCCGTTCCACCGCCACGCGGTCTGTCCGTCTGCCTGCTCTTCCCCCACCGCCGCCGCTAACGCCATAGCCGCTGCGGGAGCTGGGAACTCCGCCCCGACCCCGCCTGCTTCCCCAGTAGGCACACACGCATCCATCCTTAGGCTCAACCTTCCTTCTGTCCCTCCTTCGTTCTGCCCCGCCCCTGGGAGGTTGTGACTTTTAACCGCGATTGAGAAGCGGCAGGTGTCCTCGACGACCACACTGCGTGCATCAAAGAATCCCAGTGCCTCTCCCACGCCCACCCAGGCCACCTCTCTCGCTCTCTCCCCTCCCCTTACAGGCCTGCCTTAGTAACCTGTACCCCATGCAGTGCCCTCTGTAAGTTCTAACTGCCCGCCTTCCACTGCGCTCTGCCGAATCTCCCCCATGACTGCCAGCACTTTAAATTCACAGGTGGCCGGCCAGTTCCCTTTGCAAGAGGTTGCAGCTGGGCTCTCTTCAGACCCTTTTAACCAGCAGCTTTCTTCTCCCCTAGAGCCCAAATCCTGAGAACGTTAGCTCCAGAACAGCCTCTTCCATTCCTGCGCCCATTCTACCCCTGAGGGAAGCAGCGGGGACTGAGGGCATAGTCTGAATCTATGCCCCCACTCTCTAAACCCGACCTTTAAGGTCTTTATTAGTCCTCAAACCCAGGTCCGAGATCAAGTGAAAAATGGCCTTGAAGGTTCTTAATGCCCCTGAGGAGCAGGCACAGTCAGAATGGCAAGCCTGCCTTCCACAGAAGGTGGACCTGCAGACACGCCTTAGTGGCCCTGTGGTTGACGGCAGCCGCCATGGCCCTAAGGGGGCTGTGAGCGGTGGGGGTGCAACGAAAGGA